AAGGACATTCATGTTATAGACCTCGTAGAACTGGTGAACGTAAAAGAAAATCTGTTCGCGGATGTATTGTTGGAAGTTGGCTAGTTTGAATGAAATCATATCACATTATTCATAAGAGCAATAGTAATAAATAAAACGTACACTTGTTTGAGTTCATGTTTTTCATTTGTGAGCTTAATAGGACTTACTATTTATTGCAACTTTAAAAGATCTCAAAGTTTTACTAATTAAGTGGGTACGGTTTCTAAACTAAAAAGATTCTTCATAAAAAAATAAAAAAATGCATATAAAGATGAAAATATCAAACCACATTTATATAATTAAAAAATGAGAACTAGGTTGAAAAAGAATTTTACGTTGTGTTGTTGGCACCAATCTCCATATACAACGTAAATTTGATTAAATTTTTCCCAGTTCTCTTAATTTCTCCAAAAAATTTTTAAAATAAAATACGGAATATGATGAAGAAAAATACTTTATGTAGAAAATAAAAAATAATTAAAAAACATAAAGACAAAGATGTTCATATATAATGATTATATATAATGATTGAATATAAAGAATATAAACTAATATTCTTACCTCGTGTTGAGCATCATGTGGGATCCTAATATTGTGAGCTAATTCATGACAAAATCTCATAAACCAATAGACAAAAGTTTCAGAAGCTTCAGAATCACGACGAAGCAAATAATACTTAAAATTGAAAAATAATGAATTGTTTCGATTAAAAGCAGTAGAATTGCCAGAATCATAAAACACATGAACCTTTTTGGGAGGTAGTTCAAAAACTTTAGATAAATGTTTAAGCATTTGAATAAAGTTATTCAAAGGAATCCTTGACGATGAAAATGTTGATGGATCCAGACCTTTTGAAATATATAATTCTACCCCATTTTCTGCTCCAATAAATTCTAATGAATGAGCTGATAAAAAAATTTTTTTGATATTATTAACATCTTTAACAATTTTGAAATAATAAATAATTAATGAATGAACTTCACTTTTTTTAAAAAAATAACTTTTATACCTGGTATAAAATCACAGTAACTTATTTGATTTTCTGGAAAATTTATTTTAACTTGTCCATCAACAGAATTCGTACGGGATATGCCATCACGTAAAACTTTTTTCAAATCTTCAATGCTCATTTGCGAAACTGTTGTAGAAGATGTATTGTACCATGAACTCTTTTCATATTGTGATTTTGAGGAAAAGCTTTGTCTCTGATGTTTATCATAATTATTATTATATGAAGCTGGTAACGGTGGAAATGCTTCTTCATATGAAGTTGTTGACACTTTTGAAAAAATTTCATTATTATTATAAGTTGAAAAATCATTTTTCGGTTCCTTTCTTGATAATATAATATCATCAAAATCATCATCATAATTATATAAATTTGTTGTTGTTCTTGGAAAAAATTCATCTTCATAAATTGAAAAAGAGCCTTTTGAATATTCTTGAGAATTCCCTATGTTTATACTGATAGGCATATAATTAGGAGCAATTTTTTGTGTTTTTCCAGAAAAATGCTTTGTTTCCGTAGCAACTTCATAATAATCTGTATCAGAAAAATTTTCTTCTTCAAATGGATTTAATTCTGAAATTTCTTCATTTTCAACAACATACAAATTGTTTTTCTTTAGATTTAATAATTGATCTACTGGAAGTCCCCTACTTCTAAGATCATCTAATGACTTTGTTAATAACGAGTCTACAAAGGCAATCATATTAAGTTGAGGTCTTTTACAAATCAACTGAGAAATTGATTTTGCAACATCATAATAATTAACCGATTCCCCTACTCTAATAAATAATTTACGTTCACATTTTGAAATACAAGAGGTGATAAAATTATCAACTTTTGTTATATTCTTTGGAGCCAAAGTATGAGTTGTTTCGATCTGATCAACCTCTAACACTTCCAATTCTCTTACCCATTGTTCATATTTATTGATATCGTTATTATTAATTTCATGATAAAATAATGGTGCACGTTCCCTAATCAAATTTTGTAATTCCGCAGATTTTTCAGTAGGTCGTAGTATCTTTCCTTTAATGTCAGATTTAGATGTAACACTGCTGGATAGTGATTGACATCCCAATTTCTTTTTTTTTTTAGGAAAAATAATATTTCATTATTAATATTAAAATACATGTATATTATATAAAATATTACCTTGTACAAACGTACTAATGATTGATCTGGGGGGCAGCTTAAAGGTTCAAAAATTTTATCATATATATCATTATCACTTATATAAATATCTTTAGAAGATGCTAGTATACATTTTCCAACTTTATTTGCATCATCATCATCATCATCATCATCATCTTTTTCCTTTTTCATGCCACTATCATTTTTCTTTATTGCTAACAAAACCTTACGTTTTTTCAAATTATTTAATACATTGTTATTCTTTTGAACCGAAGAAAATTTGTGATCGATTTTGTGTAGTATAGCAGTATACTTGTCAATACCCTGGCTTTTCAAAACTTCATGTGAAGATTCAATTAAAAGTTCAGCCAAATCAATTGGAGATGGTTCATCTTTGACACCACAATCCCGCAAAAATTTATTTGCTTTTTCACCAAAATTAATATAATCAAAATAGTCAGCAAAATCTTCATCAGAACATTTAAAAAAACAGTTTGACGGTTTAACATATTTCAATTGAGCGGACTTTTTATCACGAATTGGAATAAAATATGTTCGGTTTAAATTGCCCCAATCTGAATATATAAAGTGAAATGAAGATAAATAACCAAAAATTGATTTTGCTTTTTCTTCATCTGGTGGTTCGTTCTTTAGTTTTTCTAGTATCTGCAGCCGATCTGGATCTTTCTTTACACCAAGATCTTCAGCTCTACTTACCAAGTCTCTATGTAATACATTAAATTTCATAAACCTACACTCCGTGTTTGTGTAACATTCCGATGGTTTTGCGTAAACGTTTAGATCAGTACATGGGAGAAACGCAATATTTATTTTTTTTGCATCATAGTGTTTAGAATATTTTGTTTTAAGATTTTCAAGAAAGTAATTTAGAGCCTTTTGGCGAATTGAAAGCTCTGTGATAGGTGACGCCAGCTGAAGTATTTTACCAAGTGGAGGATATTCACATAAGCCGAGCTTTAACATAATTTTAGCTAAAGATAACATTATATTAGTTTTAATAATAAATAAATAATATAAATAAATGTATTTCAAATACCTTCCCTCGAATTCCTATTCCAATTGTCATCCCACACAATTATTGGTAATTCAAAATCACGTAATTGTGACGATGGTGCATATAATTCCCTTGCTGTAAATCTTCTATTATTGTTAGATTCCATCGGCCAAATAGACTTGGATGATAATTTTTTTATTTCTTCATCCTCATATTCATTCCGAACAAGATATTTGATTAATTCCATATGATTCCAACCTCCTTGTCTAACAAGTCGATCACATAAAAGATGTATTTCAACACGCTGAAAAAAAAATATTTATCCATTAATAAATCAATATCGCGAATATTATGTGCAGTAAACAAATAAATAAATAAAACCACAAGCTTTACTTTTCTAACTCCCAAATAAGAGAAAAATTCATCATCAATTCTGTCTTGACAACTAATAATAGCCAAATCTGGAAATATATCCGCACTGGGAAAATAAGATTGATCTGGCATTTTCATACCCATTTTTGTTGGAATACAATTTTTTTTAGCCAAATATTGTCTAATATTCTTTTGATCCCGTTCAGAAATACGTCTAAATCGATGTGCAATGATTCCAAGAATTTTTTCTGAAAACGTAGGATCTTGTTCAAATAAAGGTTTTGCAGAGATAAATCGAGCCCATGTAACCAAACTTAATTTAGACCAATCACTAACAATATAAATATTAGATCGACATTTGAAAATTATTTTAAATAAATGAATATGTATAACACTGACCTAAAATGAGCTAAAATATCTCTCTCTTTAAAGTCTTTACTTATTGAATAAGGCAAAACACTTGGAGGAACTTCTACATCAGGTGGAATAACATTTGGGTCTAAATAATGAGAAATTTTACTAAGAGGTACCTTGGTGTTTTCAACTTGTATAGTAACAAGTTTCATGAATTTCTCCAATGTGGCTTTATCTTTATAACGATAATTTATCCACCATTTCAACAAACTTGTCATCTCATTCTCGTTCAATGCCCGACTTTCTAATTCAATAAAAATATCTTTTATTGAGACTTCATATATAGATCTTGAAGAATCTTTTGCTTTTTCTGCTTTTTTGAAAAATTCATTGCATTGATCTAACAATAACGTTGGAACAATTGGGACAATCTTGATAAAAGGTTTCGTCTCAGGGGTTGGTATTCTGATGGATGTAATTGGTAAAACACCACAAGTAGATAATATTGGCAATGGAGTTGATGTACAATCAAAAAACTGTGATTCACTTAATGTTGAGATCTCTTTTCTAGGTGTACTTTCTCTAAATGTAAAATGTGTCAAAGCATGCGCCGCATATTTTTGAAGACCTTCAAATTTAGATTTCATTGGTCCATCATCAAATGTTGCGAGGCTTGAACCAAATGATTCCTTGTACAAATTTGAAATTTTTGTCAATTCATCCTCATATATCATGCGAGACAATATGCCAGCTAAACGTAACAGTCCCTCGTTATATTTTGCTAAAGTTTTATCCACCAAATCAACTGATTCACGTTCAACCTTAAAAATCATAATAATGAAGAGACAAATAAATATATTTTAATTTTTTTAATGAAAACTATTATATACAACAAAAAATACGGTTACTTACTGTAGGAATCAATCTAGCTGCAAGGTGCGCAGAGCAACCAGTTGTTTGAAAAGTAGGAAATCCTATAAATATTCTACCTTGTGCAGGGAATGGCAATAAATCTCTGAATATTTCAGAAGCATAATTATTTTGATCTGAAGAAGAACTTTGCTCATCAAAATCAGTGAAAATCATTTGTATCTTTGTATTTTTTGGAGGTCGTTTTTTGGTGGTGCGCTCCATTTCCATACAAAATGAATCTGGAATATTTAAATCAACATTACCACTAGCAATTTTTAAGAAAATACTGTCTTCCTCCAGTGAATATGGATTTATCGGAGTTCCTGGTGAAGTGATCAATCTTTTAACATCCATTTGAACTTCGAAGATATCAACTGATGTCAATTTAAACAGATTATCTGGTGAGTTTGTTCTTATTTCAGGTTTAATTGGCATTGATGGTAATTCATGCACTGTTTTTGTTAAATGGATTACTTGAATTTCATTAAAGTAGACTGTAATTTTGTTAAGATTCCCTGTGAAGCACTGAGTAAAGTTGATGATAATTATAATAATAATGAACGTTACTAGTTTATATATATCTATTTGTGTTTTGATTGGATTTTAAATATAAAAAACCATTATTACCAATGAAGTTGCTAAAAAACGACCAAAAGCTTCTATTTCTGGCAACTAACATAAAATAAATCAATCAATTAATCATCTATATACTCATATCATTATCACAAAAATAAATTATAGATTTACTTTATTTTCTTTTTCAAGAGTATCCATCGAAAATCTTGTCCAAATCTTATCATATTGTTCGTTAACCCTTCGTTTAATAAGTAATTGATCTCCGTCCCAAAAAAATTTCATAGTTTGTGTACCTGATGATACACTATTTAAATATAATTGTGGTTTTAATTAGATTATTTAATTATAATAATAATTATAGTAGTAAATAATAATAATTTACAGAGGATTATCACAAACTGAAAATAGGGAATAAAATCCAACACCAAAGGCACCGATCTAAAATTCAATCTATTTTATATAATATATATACACGTAAGATGTGAATAATAAAATTCTATATACCTTTTGTTCATCAGGATTTCCTACAGCAATATTTTTCAATCTATCCCAATCTTCAGGTCTAAATAAAAAACCATTATTTTTAAAAACTATTCTCACGCATTTATCTGAGATATTGATATTATTATCATTTCCAGACTTTTCAGTCTCAAATTTTATTTCAACTTCTGTAGCTTTAGCATCATCTAAAGTTTTATATAATAGATTTGATATCATTTTATTACTTTTATTATTATTATTTCACACGTGAAAATAAGAAAATTTACCTGAATTTTGTAATAATTCTCTGTAAATAACAAATTCAGTGGAGTATCTATTGATTAAAAATATCAAGTAATTGGAGAATAATATTCATCAAGTTAAAAAGGTTTTAATAATAATATTATTATTATACTTTTTAATAATAATTAATAATAGAATACCTTGCTAAAATTTTATCAATTAAATGTCTTAGATTAACTTCTACTTTTTCTATGACTTCACTAGAAAAAAGTGCATTTTGAAGTCTGCCTAACGACATATTTAGAAAACAAAAATAACGGATAATTTTTTCGAGAGTACCATTTAGTTGGAGTTTAAACTTTCATGGTTACAATTTCCTTTTTTATTTTATGTTTTCATAGTTTCTTATTATATAATGGGACTTAGTGTTTTATATATATAGTTAACAGGAGAGAACGTCCTATATAAGGAATGGATTTTCACAATTGATTTCAATTTTTTTTATACAGTTTAAAATAC